TTATTAAAAACATCTTAATATTATTGTGAATAATGAAAGATTGTTTAGAAAAATAATTTATTAATTAAACAATAAGGAAGAAAATTTAAGATTTGACAGTTGAAGCATTAAAGCAGCTTTTTAAATATAAATAGACAGAAACAAGAATTTTACTTTCCTGTAATCCAAGAAAGATATTAGCAAATGAATACTAAAATATCAAATGTAAAATATTTTTTTAAAAAAGTAATGAAATTTAAGAAATACAAAAATGAAAAGAAATAAATTAGATGCGTTGAAGAAAACATAAAGAAAAAAAGGTAAAAATGCAACAGCAGTTAATGAAATGTAAATGTAAAATACAAAACTGAAGGGAAAATACGGCAATTTAGCAAATATTATAAAGAATATTTTTCTTAAATTATCTAAAAAGTATTTGAGCAATTATTAGAAATTTGTTAGATGACGATACGTTTATATCACCATTAGTCATATAGTTTGGACGATATTAACCCTTCGAGAATTAATGAATAATTACGTCAACCGTAAAGCGCCAAAACTTATCTTTATATATCAAAAAATTTTCATTTGGTGTACTGTATTAATGTAATAGCGATGTGAAACAGTTATTAAATAATTTAATGACTTCCATTTCCGAGTCTTTTTTTTCTTTATGATAGACAGCGAGGATAGAAAACTCCTTTTTTGGAATGAATCACATTTGATAGCATGACTCATTCCAAAAAATTCTTTTTTACTTTGAATTTTTTATATTTATTTTCTGTATTATGAGACTTTATGAAACTTTTATTTCACTATAAGATTTAAATTTTCAGCCAAAGAAATATTTTAATTCATTTTTTTCTTTTTTTCTAGATTTCTGAAATTGTAATGTCATTTTCTTCAATATTAATAGTTAAACATATAGAAATGGCATATTTTGTTAATAATTGTAATTTATAAATGAATTATAAATTAGTTAGTTATTCTGGTAGACTATTAAAATAAAAACGAATTTAAATGAAATTTCAATCTTTTTACTTGCATGACTCAATAATAGCAAATAATTTGAAGCTAATTATATATTGTAAATGTTAACAAAGTCTGTTAATTTTCGTTATCATAACTATTGTGTAACTAGTTTCATTCTTCCTATTATGACTTAAATTTTATCTAACTGACTTATCTAAGTCTAATTTTAAGTGACATTTAAAATTTTCTACATATGTTTGTCTTGATAGTTTATACATAAGCTATGATAATTAAAACTGTATAATAAATAGATTCACGGTGGTTGAATGGACGAGGCTGTAAAAGCGGTATTCTGCTATTCTAGGATCGAGTTAGAATCTAAGTCAATTCAAAAATCGTAATGAATCAATTGCTTCATATAGGCCTATATAATAAGCAACAGTTTGTTCTTCAACGCCGATTCG